TGCCAAAATAAATCCATTGGGTATCCTTGTTGTTCTTCAGACAACAATTCTGACGGCTAAAGAACCAAATGGGACAAGCAAAAAAAAAAAAAAACGCCAGCATTCGTGTAACAAAGAGTTATCATAGATACGATAGAGAACAGCATCTTTGAACACACACAGTGTGTGTGTGTGTGTGTGTGTGTGTGTGTGTGTGTGTGTGTGTGTGTAAGTGAGAGAGAGAGAGTTCAGCATAAAATAAAACTCCAACACGGGGAGCAGAAAAGATGACAGAGTAGCACAACCAGAAGTGACAGTAAAAACATTTCACAGCACAAGCTCTTTACTCCATCATCATTTTTTCTGTAGTCTCAGTTTGTCCATACAAACATCAACACAATGAGCAGCAATAAAACTGAGGATATATCCATATTTTGTACAGGCCCACTCACAACAAAGTCTACTCAAAGTCACTCAAGAGCCAATTTCACTATCAAAAAATGGAATTCCAAGCTCTACATTTTTCCTTACAAAATGTGAACCTGTCTTCTGGAGGACTATACCTGTTTCTCTGTGTTCTCTGAAGGCCACCCTTGGATATGTCTGATGAGGTTTTCATCGAAATGAGCTGACAGGCTGGGAGTGAAGGAGCCAGGGGTGTCTGAGTGGCTCGCACTGCTGGACGGAGCGTGAGGCAACAAGGCACCAGATGCGTTTGATCCTGTGCATAACATGTCCTGGCTGCTGGAGGAAGACACACAGGTGGAGAACGTGTTAATAAAATCCTGCTGCAGTTGTTCTGATGTTCTAGCTGATTACTGTTACACAGATCGGTCTATAATCTCACCGTCTAACCTATGAATGGGGAAATATGGATGAATAATAAGCCTCACCAACATTTCCGGTTGTTCGGGGAACTGCATCATTGGGAGCTGAGTGTCCCCAAAATGACTATTCTCAAATAACACACAGACCTTGCTGCAAACCCTTTCTCAAAAATAAAACGTTCCCATAAACACTATCTGGAACACATGTTGCTGTATTTTGTAAACGCATGTTTTTGCAATTCAGGCCAGTTGTCCTTGTAGCTCTTGAACCCCCCCGCTACTACTCATCTGCTTTGCCTCCACCAATCTATGCTGTGATGAAGTGATTTTAAATCATTCCTTCCTGAAAGTTACCTTCTCTGCTGCAGAGTTCTGGGGTCTTCTGGACGCTTTTCTGCTGTCTGGGACAAGGAAGCTGAGCCTGGCTTCCCAGAAGACATGCTGCCCTGAAGAGGGAAAAACAGATGACGATGAGGAGAAACATGAATAAAAACAAGACACGGATACAAAAACCCACACAGAGAAGATGGTCCAGAGGAGTGCAGTCATAAACACAGCGTCTCTGCTCTGTTACTTTAGCTTCAAAGGCTCACCCTGGTTTGCGAGGATGAGACGCTGCCAGGATGCACACCCAAATGAGACTTCTGGTTGCTCTGTGGCGTGCCGTTCCGTGGTGAGACGTACGGCCGTGGCGATGATGTGTCGGACGTCAGGGAGACCGGCGACTGACTCGAGTGCTGGGCTGAAAACAGGAAAACATAAGATGGAAGAATGGGGAATTTGTCAGGTTGCACGTATCATTGTACAGAGTGTCAGGGAGGAAAATGTTGGATTTTTTTAGGACTAACAGCAAACAGTTAAAAAGGTAAAAAGGCTTGAAGAGGGAATACAACAGCATATAAAACACCCTTTATCCCAGAACATGGGACCATGTCTTGTGCTTCTTTTCCCCCCACATAGCTGTAGTCAATCTAAAAAACCCTAAAGTTATACACACAGTAAAACAAGGACACAGAGAGCAGAAACCTTCCAAAGAGGATGAAAATCAGTATGTGACAGCAGATGGTGAAAAACAGCAAAGAGGCCGTACCTTGGTTGGAGTGCTGAGCAGCTGAGAGCAGAGCAGTGACGTTGAAAGCGGGTCCAGCAGTGAGGAGCTTATGAAGCACAGACTGCAAGGAAGCTTGGGTGACAGCAGCTGCCAATACTGGAGGGAGGAAAGAGGGAACGTGTACACACACACACAAACAGGTGAGTGAGCAAGAACACACAACAGGTGAGTGCATAAACATTAGAAGTCAGAAAACTCAGTTGAAATAAGAATCGAGTTAGTGCAACAGTGCGAGGGAAACACTTGTAAAAAAAACAAAAACGACAATAAAACACAGATTCTATTTTTTTTTTTTCTATCACCAAAAGGGTCGATAACACGGTGGCCTCTTTGCTGTCTGACACAAAATCTTAGAGGGTAAAAATCCAGCTCTTACCTGTCCGACAAGCTTCTTTATAACCACAGTGCACCAACTAAGTTCATATCAACAGACAGAAGGAAGCTAACATGAATGAAGCCTAAATGTAGCCGAACTGCTAGCTTGTTTTGCCACGCATCTTCAAATTCTGCTGGTTCTCATAAACTTAGCCCGCGCACTCATCCTGACTCTTTTTGGAAGTCATACCTCAAGGCAGGAGCACGGCATGTTCCTTTTTATGCTGGAACACACGTGCTTCTTGGGGGTGGGGGTTACAAAAAGCAAAAACAAACAAGATGTTGTTGTTTTGAAAGATGTGTACGTAGGAATACCTGTGTGTAAAAGCAAGCTTTCCAAACAGGACCCCCTTTTTTTTCTAAGCTAAACAACTATGAAGTTGCAAACAACCCATAATATAACTCTGAGAACCAATTGTGCACCTCTGTGCTGAATAAGACACTAGACCGGTAAGCAGTGTAAACCGCGCCCTCATCCTCACCCTCGTTCAGCTTGGCCACGTCCATGCTGCCGTTGTTCATCTGCAAAGTTGCTTGCAGCGCCGGGAGGAGCTGATGCAGGAGTGCCGGGTCCTGGAGCAGCGCCGGCGAGGGCAACTGGGCAGACGGAGGCGCCTGAACGCTAGAGGACGAAGAAGAGGACGACATGCTGGAAGGGGTGGAGCCTATAGCGGCGGCAGCAGGGGTCAGGCTCTGAGAGGAAGAGGAAGAATGGCCGCAATTGGCTGCTGTGGACTGATCCACTGATGCGATTTCTGTGGAGACGAGCAGAGTGATGAACACAGAATGAACTCACGCTATATCCTGAAGCATAACTATATACACATGAACAAGATTTTATTGGTAAGTCGTACTTGTTGTGGCTTTGTCCTGCAAGGCCTCTTGTCTGTAGTCCATGTCCCTGGGAAAACTGTTTGCTGCCATCTTGACTGAGTCTTTCTGCCGTTGTTCCCTGAAGCAAATCAAACAGGTTTTGTAAAGCAACAGCGATGATGTTAAGGACGTGGGCTGCGGCTGTGCCTTAAGCTAATGATATTCTGATAGCATTGTGGTGCTCAAGCCGTCATGTGTGACTCTGCATGAGAACAACAACCTCAGTCACTGTCTCAGGTTAAAAAGCCAACAGACTTGAATAAAGTGAGCCTTGCCTCTCCAGCAGGTCCTTGGGCTTTTCCCACTGGGAGACCTCAGTTCTACAGTTGTAGTAGTACTTCTTCCCAGAGGAGCTAATGTGCTCTGTCCAGTCATCTGCTGGGTCCTAGTCCCAAGGAAAATGGAGAGTCAAACAGTTAAAAAAAACTTCACCCCAAGTTCATTTTGCTAAGTTTATACAAAAACTTTCCCAATAACATTGCCAAAGTAATGCAATTATTGTATGCATGATCATTTTTCATAGATTTTTTTTTATTATTATTATTGTGACCCTTCACTTCAAAGTCAAAATATCTGATGCTTAGTCAATCTGACAAAGAAGTCATGCCAAGTTAGCTACATGGTCCTCCCGCCATGATGATCCGAAGAGCAGGTGAATTTAACCTTAGTTGTGAAAAGAAAATCCTGACAGTTCATTTTTGGCCAGTTTCAACTTATTGTGTACTTTTTGATTGCATCTAATCCCCACACACACACACACACACACACTTTATTCTCTTGGTAAAGCATGCAACCTGCTGATCAAGCACTGGCAGACATACACTTAGCTGTTAAATCTAGGTACATCACAACTACAAACCTTTCTGAAGCCCTACACACTGCCACTGATGCAACCTGCACAGGTATAAATATTGGCACTGGCACCGTAGGCTTTTTGTCGATCCATTGCAGAAGCATGCATTCATTTTAAGTACCCACTGTTCATACAGGTTTAGGATGTTCCCTTGTTTTCATGAGCCCTAATCTTCAAAGGCTATTTCACTGATACTCAAAAAACCTAGAACTGTAAAACTGAAAGCACAGTATCTGTTTCTGACTGTGTTTTTTTAATCCCTCCATGCTATGTGATTTATGCAAATCTCCCCCAGATAAATTCTTCCGCTCTGTATAAAAGTACTTCCTTATTTTCCATACGATCCCTCCTCAAACCAGTCCAGTCTGTCTGATGAACAGGAAAAGGTTGCAAAGCATTCTGGTAGTTGCTGGTCTGTAGTTCTCTTTTCAGTGTTATTACACAACCCACTTTCCAGCAGTGACATTCCTCTTGAAACCGTGAGCCATCACACCTGCTTTTGCTCCACTAAGCACTTTTCCAGTCTCAAAGTGCTCAAGTCAAAGTTTCTTCAAGCAACAGTGTCGGTTTTCCAGCACTCACATTTTTTTTCCCCTGAGGAGCACGCATTCAAGTTTCAAACAACTTGAGAGGATATTAAAGTGCTCCCTAAACTGATGTAACGCAAGGCAATCGATCACTTTGTGTAAATGGGTTACGAAGCTTCAAAAGCAAAGACCAACAAGTGGAAGAATTCATTTAAATTGTTTATTCCACTGCTTGGAGGTAGCAGTCCTACTTCATTGTACATACTGGCAAGAGCATACCTGAGTCAGCACATTTGGTAAACATAAATCCATTTTGCTTTGGGAGGTAAACATCTTTCATTTCCGAGCCTCGATAATGGACCGGGGCTTTTGAGTATGGATGCGAGCTGGTATGTTTAATATTAATGATGATGCATATACTAACGACTCTGTTAGGATCTAACATTTCTCATCCACATCTGTACTAACTTTAAAACTGTGCTTTTGTAGGTGAGGCTTGAGCCCTTATAACATGTGTACCTCCAACCCTCTGTGGAAAGAGTAATTAGATACCACATACTACTAGTAAAACCAACAGTATCTTAGTAATTCATTTAAAAAAATTATATAATTTGATTTTTAGTACTGCAGTTCCCACAGTTATTGATATAACAGAATTAAGATAGACTCTAATGTAATTTGAATATTAAACACTTAAAGTGAGCCATGTGTGCTCTGACAAGAGTCTGTAGGAAAGCTAACAAATGCACGGAGCAGTGGGTGCTTGCAGGAGCGGTTCAAATTAGTGTCAAACCAGACAATGTTGAATATTGTGTATTTGGTCCCACTGTGCAGTCCAACCAGTGAGAAATAACAATGTGTCTCTCATTCACTCTGACAAACGGCAAATCGTTTAAACAAGGAAGTCTACATTCTAATCAGACCATCTACTACACAAGGAGCCTCTTACATAATTATGAAGTTACAGTCAAGCATTGTTGAGTTAGGTTTGATAAATGTCTGCATGAGAGAGGAAGATGACTATCCATCACGCCCCACATAAAATGTTCCACAGTGGCGTGGCTGCACTCTAAAGGAATCGCTGAAGGTTTTATAATCAGATAACACTGGGTAGATCCTTACCCTGTCTGCGGGCTTGCTCTGAGCCGCGTGCAAGTCGGTGCCATGGTGAGAACTGTTGTTGTGGGAGTTCTCCTGAGGAGAGCCACTGGTCCCTGCAACAAAGCCACTTGTCAAAGGAGAGAAAGCAAACGAGGCTCTGCTAAGAGCTAAATCCTCAGGGAGAGTCACAACTGCACAACAGGGAAAAGAAATCAGCTTGCCTTTTGTTATTTTAGGCTTATACTTGCAGTTTACATTTACGTCTTAATCTGATGGCAGTATTATGGGAAACCTTTTTTCCCCACAACATGACAACTGGCAGGGGTGACCAGAGTCTTCATGACAATAACACATGACAGAAGAAGTTCACATATTATGTCAGGGACCAGCATAGAAACAACGACAGGGTTGACCTTTATGCCTATCTGAGCCCATCTGTGGTTACCGTTTCCCCTTCATAACAACCGCCTGAGATTAATCTTGCAATGGCATGCACGTGCAATGCCACCAGACTCACCATTTTTCCCTCTGACGCTGTGAGAGGGTTTCGCCTTGCCATGTCCCGTGCCTTCTCCGTGTCTGCTGACAAGACTTTCGTCTGAGCGTCGCTGCATCTTGTAAGGGGGCACAGGATCTGACGACCCATCGCGCACCTTGTCGTAGCGGTGAAGGCTTGTGGCCTGGCTCTTTGGCTGAGATTTATGGGTCTAAAAAGGACAGTGCACAGCAGAATTGTTGAGATATGCTCAATCTCACACAGTGGTGTTCTTACCTCTCAATCAGAAGACCCTTTAAGTTGAATGAGAGCATTTTTATTTTTATTGACATTCTATTGACATTTCTAGTAAATATTTGTTTTGATAAGAGTAACTGAAACACAAGGGCTGAAGTAAGACAGTCCACATATGAATTACCATTGTGATCAAACTGAAATGTGTCCAGACAGTTGCTGATCACCTGCACACTGTGCTGACCTACGTTTATGGATCGTCATGACAGGTGACAGCTAACAACCTGAACATGACATACCTGATACGATTGGGGATCCCTTCTGTCGTTGCACCTGTGGAGACATAGAGAACAAAGGTTAGAGCAAGATCTCAATGAATTTTTTTTTTTATTATTTGTCACTTTGAAAACTGACTTTCTGGAGCATATACAGTTAGCTAAGTAGCTAGCGTTAGCCAAGTTAGCTTGACTTGCCATCTTATCATCATGTGTTTGCTCATACTGTAGTTCACATTGAATCGGTAAAGTTTAAAGTATATCTTACAAATACCTAGAATAGGCAGGATTTACGATGTGAATACTATTAAGTGTAACGGTAATCGACCAGCTAAGGTACATATCCGGAATCAACGGCTAACTAATTGCAGGCTAACCATGCTAGCTAACGGCTACAAGTAAACCTTAAACGCACAAATTAAATCAACGGCGTAAGAAAAACATGATTCAAACGCTAAGGTCTGAGTCTGATTTACCCATCGCTGACTCTTGTTGGTTTCCTTGCATACATCACCATCAAGACCGTGGTGATGTGTGTATGTGTGTGAGGGGGAACCGTGGCCTCCTGACTGCCTGGCTGCTCTCACAGCTCTTTTCTTCAGCTTCCTGATGTCTGCACTTAGTCTGTCCGGCCAAACAGAGAGCTAAAAGTCACGCACCGAATACCAGCACTGCATAGCGGCTGGTCTTTACTGAAAAAGAAAAACAAAAAAGAAACACCCTCAGTGCACCATCTGCCATGCAGTTACGGTATACGCTAAACTCGGCCGATGTAGTTCAGCGGAAGGCAGCAGATGGAGGAGGAAACGGTGAAGGCAGTAATGTTTGGCTAGGAGGACGAAGTTCCTGTTTGTCTTTTCAAATTAAAATTTTAGTTGTGCGTTTAGAAGATTATTATTATTATTATTATTATTATTATTATTATTATTATTATTATTATTATTATTAACGAAAAGCAAGACATGTATTATGTGAAACAGAATATCACAAAAGAACTTCCACTCTTCCGTTTTAAAATTATAAAATATATGCTTAAGTCAAAACCACAAGTAACTGGGTTATCATTTTTAAATAAGTAATTATACTTTTTATGCAATGCTGTCAAAATGGCACAGAATAACAAAAATAACAGTACGTGGTTCTCTAACAAAAAGTGTTTGATTTTCACACCTCACCGTGGCATTTCCGCGTTGATGGGCTATTATTTTGAAGGAAGTCTCATCATATCCCGTATGAGCTCAGCTGTGTCTGGATAACGTGACGCAGTCTGTCAGTGCTGCTGTTGGCTGCTCAAAGTTCACCTCACGTCTCGGTAGTTTTAAGTTGTCAAGTGGGACTCTGCTTCAGCCTGCACGCTTTGTCGCTTTTGTGGTGTTGTCATATAGCTCCCGCACGAACACTTTGCCCAGCGTGAACAGGCCACAGCAGGCTAATATGTCCATTTTCTTACCACCCCTGGGTTTTGGCCTAATTGATACGTGGTTTATGTAGAATATGGTAGTTGACTATAATGCAATGAGTCCAGGGCATTTATAGTCAACTACTCAGATGTCTGGAGTCTACTGAGCAAGCACTGTACAGGGTTCCAGATGGACAGTCTGAACTTTGTGACCAGCGATATCTAATGCAACTGTAGCTATACAGTGTATTCCATTATAGTAACAGAGACCCCAACATCACCATTTTCAAAATCAGAACATCCATATGTTTCATCATGTAAGACGTTATCTAGTACTAATATTGTGCATGACTAAGCGTCTGCAGTCATATGTGGGTAGCTGAACTGAAATAGGTCAACATTAAACTCCATGCTGTGTAACCTCCATGATGTGATTGGCGTATCGATTGCCTGCTGGCTTTATTTGTGTCAAACCGAACACATATTGATGGAATAAGAGACGGTCTTTCTTACATTGCGGTCAGTGGAACAGTGCATAACCTTTCAATACAAGTGGATGTTCAAACACAGCCTGTACTCTTTACACATTTTAAATGATATGGCTTGCATGACCTGGCCCTTATGGGATGGACAGTCTCTGGTGAGTGCATCCTTCTGTTGTTTTGCTTAGCAGTAACTTTTTTTCTACTTAAACACTATTGGAATTTAAAAAACAAAATAAGACAGAAACATCCTTTATAATCTTTGTAACATGGCCTTGAAATATTAAAATAATTAAAACAAAATCCTAGATAATCAATGTTGAGATACTCTATTCAAGATGTTTCATTTTTGAACTGATTTTAGTGACAGAGCATCAAAAAATTTCTCATGATTTTTACTATTTGTTGTTAATGCGTATGAACATTCAAAATATTCATTATTATATTATTTCACGTGTTTAAATCAGTTTTACAGTATTGTGTAGCTTCAAACTCTTTGTACCTCATACTTGCATGCATGACTAACAACAGAGTAACTCATACATAAATTAGTCTGTTGTGAGAGTGCAAGCCTTATTGTTTTTGGTTTTCACATACATTTTTAGATATAAATCTAAAACTGAACCCGTGCAAAGGTCCTGCAGACATCATCCTCTACCCACGCTGATGGATAGATCATGGCTAAAACTGTTGTACAAGCAAAGAAAGCAACATACTTTCATCAAAGTAATGCATTTTTATATATTTATTTTGAGATCTAAACTGAAATGTAATAACTGAGCTTTGTTTTGATCTTTTCCTGAAATTATTGCAAGAAATATTGATTATGTAAACACGCCAAACTGAAATATATATAAATAATAGATATAAATAATGGACATGGCTTTGTTGATACTTGATAAGAACTGTTACAATAAAAATCAGCAATAGGGGGCACTAATATCTCAGTATGTTGTTCGGGGCCATCTAAAGACAAATACACTCTTTCCTTTTTCCTTTTCACATGTGGTACATTCCCTCTTTACACAAGAAAAAAAGCGAGAGTTTAAGTCTGCTGAGATGGTTTCTTTGTCCTTTTTTTCTTCTATTCTTAGGAGGGATGCTAAACCAAACTGAGCATAGAGGTATGTAGAATATAGAATATGAACCAAAGTATGGTTTCATTATATCCTTTTCCTTATATCCTGTGTGATGAGCACAGTGACACTAGATCTTCCATATAGGAGGCTTTTAATCACACCTTTCGTTTAACCTCTGACCTCTCTCATCTGGCTTCTGACCTCACCTTCTGACCCTCAAAAACACAACCTAGAAGATAAGAGCAGGTGCAGGTTTGTTCATTTGCACGTGTGCTTATGCATGTCCTGCCACTTACCCGGTAGGCATGTGCATGCTGCTATCGTCAATGATGTCTGGAACTGAGCCACATACCGACAGAGAGGAGGACTACAGGTTTCTCCACAGCATGCTGATGGAGAAGAAGCTTCACTTGCTCTTCAAGGTGAACGCACGTTTGTAATGAGCTGTAATGAGCTGTGATCGCTCAATCTGTCCATCCAAGTCACAGAATTCACTTTATTTAAAGTGAATTTGGTATTCAGATCCTATTGTTAGCAGTATTATGTGTTTATGTTTTATTATGTACAAGTAATGCCACTGGATTAGAGTGCTGTTAATATTATGTACACTGGAAAGTGCCACCATATGTACTTCAGGTACATATGGTGGCACTATTAAGATACTTATGATTATAACTTATACTTAAGTAAAAGGATTAAATACTTATTTTCCAGTCTGCAGATGACAAGAATTATGCACACACACACACACACACACACACACAAACACACACACACACACGCACACACACACACAAATTCGATGCTGAGTTTAACTAATTTAATTACATGTAAACTTTCCATGAAATGTTGTTACATAAATAAAATCTGGTCGGGGGCTGTTCTGGAAGTGATTCAGGGCAACAGGAGTCTCATGGTGGCCTTAGCTCAGCAGTTGCTCTTAATAATTTTTTCCCTTAAAGGCGTCAGCATTTACAGGATTTAACTGTAAAAAGAACGGTGTCCTGTATTTTTTTTACAGCAAGTGCAACAGTGTACTATATTTTCCACCAGTCTCAAAAACAATAAAACCATATCACAGATTCACTACAGCTGTGTACTGTATTAAAGGTTTAAATTTACAGTACTTTGGGATTTTCTAAATTTCTTTAAATCTATATTAGTAGCCAGTTGCTTTCACAGCAGTAGTATTGGTAGTTATCGATAAGTAACTAGTAATAGTTAAAGTTCCCCTCTACTGCAGAGAAAAGCTCTTGCATGATCCTCTCCTTACTTGCCAGATTCACGAGCAACTGAAGCGTTTTGAGAAGCGAAGCCCCGTCCCCATCCAGGAGCACGCGGCGAATCTGGCCTCAAGTGTAAGTGACCGTCTCCAAACATCTTTTGCAGATAGACACACTGCCGAGGATGACAGCTTGACAGAAGAGGGAACAGATCTGGGGGGGAGGTTATCTCACAAATGGTCTTCTCTCACTTTCCTGTCACAAAGAGGATTTCTTCTTATGTGTACTGAATTATGAAATGTTGTCTCAAACGCTGTCACCTTAGATATCATCTTTTGAAAAGGCTGTTTTAAAGGAGTTTTTTTTTTTTAAACTCATGAGCCAAGAGTTAGATCATTGAAGACTGAGCACCAAGCGGGAGCCGCGAAAATCATTCCATCTAATGTTTCAGGAAAACAATTCATTTCAGATTTAGGCTGAAGTGACAGACAGATGTGCGTCATCCTCACTCCTGTTACCATCCCGTCTTCCTTTCATTTTCATCCATCCCAATGACTAATTTGTATATTTCGATTATCCCCCACCTTTATTTCCGATTTCACCACCTTTGTCCTGGACAATGTGCAAATTGAATTTTTTTTTAACCCTTTTCCCTTCCATATATTCTTCTCTCCACCCCTAAACGTTCCCTCCCTTCCATTATCTTTACCTCTCCACCCCTTTTCTTGTTCTCTTTTCCTTCCATTTCTTCTTTTTTCATATCCATATACTGTAATATCTGCCATGTTTCCATTCTGTCTCTCTGCTACACTCCCCCACTTCAGCTCCCTCCCTTCAGTCCCCTAGCTTCAGATTCAGTACGACAGCCACTCTCTGCCTGGCTTAAATCATCAGGACCTACTGCAAGGGCCAAACCGAGGTTCTGTTTCCCCTCAGAGAGGCTTCTGTTTGCTCACAGTGGAAACTAATGACCTTCATGCATTGTGTCTCTGGAGTGTGCCTCGACATCTTGAAGCAGTAGAAGTCATTACAGTAATATGCCTGACAAGACGGGCGACTGCACACAGTCACTCGCCGCCTCTCCACTTGCTGCCGACGGTCAAGGCTGCTCTGTTTTAGCTGTCACCACAGCTGTCGTGTAGCCTTGAACATTCAGAAGTGTTCCCTTTTTTTTTCCGACAGTGACTCGAAACGCAAAGCTAAAACAGGAAACAGACAAATGGCTCACACCAGGATGAGAAAACTCCCCGTGAGGCAAACAGGGCTTTAGGAAAGTGTCTGAAATAACGACAGCACTGACGTTGTGTCCGGCAGATATAAATTTCATGAACTTTTTATGCGTTTTTGCTCGTTTCCCTACCTGAAAATGTCACAAAAGCCTTAACATAAAAAGAGTACCTCTAATTATTAACATCCGACCTCTCTCTTCTTCCCTGTTCCAGTTGGCAGAGGAGCTCATATACCAGGGTTGGAGAGAGGAAGTCAAAGAGCTGCTTGCCCTCATTTCCAAACCCCACTTTCAGGTAAAAATATTTCCTTCCACAGTGACATGTTACTGTAACTTCACATGTGTCAAGCTAAAGCTTCCCCTCTCCCTGGGCCAGTTATATATCATTTTTAGCAAAGGGAATATATATATATGGATACAAGATGCAGATGTTAGCTGCAAATCATGTAAAACAGGCACAGAGAGATGCTAAATGGCTTGTTTCCTTGCTTGAATTTGAAAATTTGAACTGACTTAAAGTTAAACAGTTTATTAGCATACAGCCAAAGGTAAAGCGTGTCATCAACATGTTGATCCCATATTTTTTATTTACAGCAGAACACAGAAAACACAGCAGAGATAATGCACCATTTTAAGAAAAATATTAGCTCAATTTGAATTTGATGGAAGTAATGTGTCTCAAAAAGGTTTCCCAGGGACAAGTTTACCACTGTGAAACACCCCATCTTCATTTAACTACAATCTGTAAATACCTGGGAACTGAGGAGACAAGCTGCTGGGTTTTTGGGAGGGGAATGCTGTCCCATTCCTGTCTGATAATGATAATATTCTAGCATTGTCCTGGATGAGAGTATATGTTGTTCTAAAACCTTTCAGCATTCATGGTGCAAGCTTCCAATTCCATACCAGAGATGCAGGCTTTTGAACTGAGAGCTGATAACAAGCCAGATGGTCTCTCTCCTCTGTAGTCCAGAAGGATTTTGAACCGTCTGACCACAGAAAGGTTTTCCTCTTTTCTTCGGTCCTTTTCAAAAGTACCCGATAGAGCTTTAACCTGCATTTATGGATGGCATAGTGAACTGTGTTTACAGGCAATGATTTCTGAAGCATTCTGAGCCCATGCAATGCCTGTATATAAAATGTCATTGTATCTACTCTGGTCAAAAGCATCCACGCTTCGTACTGATGTCCACAATTCCATTTATATTTCTCTCACAATCCAGGAGCGCCTCCAGAATTTTTTCATATAGGGGCCACTTAAAATATTGGGGTGGCACACTGAAAACAGAATTTCCAGTTTTGTTATGCCGTTGGCAAAAATAGGTTACTTGAAAAATATGGCAAAAAAGAGGGGGGAAAGAATTATATGCCTAGTTAATTTCCAGCTATTAAAGTTGAGCGGTGGCCAGTGGCCCCCCTGACCCCTCTTGGTGCGCCCCTGTCACAATCAAAAAAACAAACAAATGATTATTTTAATAGAAACGCTTTAGCGAAATTTATCAGTAGATTTGTAAATTAGTAGTAGTACAAGGTAACTCCCAACTCTTGAGCTACAATCGCCCCCAAGAGTTGAGAGTTGCGATTACAAGCCAAACTTCCGATTACAAGTTTGGCTTGTAATCGGAAGGTTGCCGGTTTGAGCCCCAGCTTGGACAGTCTCGGTCATTGTGTCCTTGGGCAAGACACTTCAC